CTTTCTACCCCCTCATCCAACATGAGCGGAATTTTTCTAAGTCTCTCACGAATAGAAAAATGAACTTTTCCATCGGAATCTATTCGTGTCCAATGGATCCGATGGACTCCATCGGAACGACTTTCTACCCCCTCATCCAACATGAGCGGAATTTTTCTAAGTCTCTCACGAATAGAAAAATGAACTTTTCCATCGGAATCTATTCGTGTCCAATGGATCCGATGGACTCCATCGGAACGACTTTCTACCCCCTCATCCAACATGAGCGGAATTTTCCTAAGTCTCTCACGAATAGAAAATTAACTTTTCCATCGGAATCTATTCGTGTCCAATGGATCCGATAGACTCCATCGGAACGACTTTCCACCCCCTTCATCCAACATGAGCGGAATTTTTCTAAGTCTCTAACGAATAGAAAATGAACTTTTCCATCGGAATCTATTCGTGTCCAATGCATCCAAACACTTGGTAGGACTTTATACCACGAGACTTCCGGTTTTCCGATGGAAAGCAAGAGGATACGACTGGATTCTGGTCGACAGTATTGGACAACCCTCGCAAAACAACAACTCTCGTGCACGTGCATCACGCTTATCTGTTAATTTCTTTGTCGTCTCTGCACCCTCAAGACCCTACGACGTAAATTGACCAAATTTTATTTTTTCTTGAAGCTTTTTGAGAACGTGAACGGCAAGGCGATAAATTGTGCTTGGCTGAGCTCAGAAGAGGTCCGAGATGAGCTCGTCCGAGCTTAGTTCTCTTCAGGTAAGTTTCCCAATTTTTAGAAGACTCAATGAGTTGAAATATAAGCGATGTGCAGTCAATGAAAAATGTTGCAGTGTTGACGGAGGACGGGGCATTTGCCCTCTTTTTTCGTCCCCTCCCCGTGGAATTTGACACCTCAAGAGTCTCCACCCCCGGGAATTTGGCATCCAAGGCAAAAAAAATGCTTATGCCCGGGACTCAGGTGGGGGGGGGGGGGGGGGGGTGGAGAGAACGCAGCTGGAATTGACTGATGCGTAATAAGGACAATGGGAATATTCCATTGAATAGAATCAAAGTGCCAGCTTGGTGGCTTCTACATGACACTACTCAAGACATGCATTTCTCTCACCTGCACTTTTTTTCATAAAGAGTAGCTGTTTTAAAAATGTATAGGGTTTATCTGTATTTAAAGTTAATTTCTAATATCTTTCAAAAACTAAAAAATAATAATAAAAATTGGGTGCTCTCATTACACTCTCAGGCTTTCAATCAGACTTCAATAGGCCATTTTTCATTCATATATTTTTTCATACACCTGACATTTGTTATGCGCAATCGTCCACAGGCTTCATGCTCCTGTATATAACCAATGAACTATTTTTGTAATTAACTTGTGGTTTCAAGAGTGACACTTCCACTGACATGCCACGTAGAGTGCGAGGCCACATTTTGTTATGAAAACATGTCGGTTTTAATGCGAAAAAACTATTTCAAAAAGTGAGGAGCGTTTGTACCTTGGCGTAGAACAATCTTTGTAAAAACACTTAAGACTAGTTTCTGTCGTCAATGAGCATTATGATAGAAATTATAGCTTTCCAAACAACGGGTTCAAATTTCATGCTCGTAGAGGATGAATCTTCGTTCAACGTGTTTTAGATTGTAATGAGGAATGTTGATATAAGTTTATGTAATTGTGGATAACTTTCTCAGAAAACAACTATGTCTATCGAAATATAAAGCATATAATCTGGGAAATTTCTCGACCTTCGCCGCCATCTTGAAAATTCGACATCTACAATGCATTGCAATCCCAGTGCGCACACCGCCTGCTTGTTTATTAATAACTGTTTCGCAGGCACAACCACAACCACAGGTAGTACAGGCTCCGTGATAGTACCACAGTTCGGTTCCAGTAAAATTACAGTCTTTGTATGGGGTAAAAATACGATCCTAAAATTTGTAGGAAAAATCTAAATAAAGGTCAATGAAACTTACTCTGCAATTAGTCGTTGTTTTCCTTAATGCTCAAACGAATTTTCGTGATAATTTGCTCAAATTCACCCTCCATACTGAATAACTCCCGTAGTTGTTGGTCTGCAGCGTGTCGCGGTTTCGCATGGTTACTCATGATTGATTTACCGTGTTCCCAGTTGACAATGCCGCGCCTTCAGTAATGCGTTGCAAGACAATTTACCATTTTCACATTGACCATAATGCATCCTGTTTACCTTCCAAAAGTTCTGCATAACCATATAGAGCGTTGTCACGTGACGTCACGGCGGCCATACTGGTGTTCCAAAACAATGGAACGGCGGCCATGTTGGTGTACCTAGACAATCCTGTGGGAATTGAATTCTTTTCTTATGTAAAAACTTTCTTTTGTTCCAATAAATTAGCATAGATGCTGGCCACGTGAGTGAAAACGCTCTATTGTTTCCTGGGTATTACACTCATCCCAAGAGAAATCGAAGACAATGATTATGCAAAATTTTGGGGATTAAAGAAGATGCTTATGGATGCGAAAATGGTGAATGTGACAAAGGAGTGATTCAGACAGACTGGTTACTTCACTTTAATTTGGATGTGTGGTTTTAACATCGGAAAACAAGTTGTAGGTAAGAGTTCCTTCAAATGCTTAATCAAGGTCTGACATCTTTTAAAAGCCCCGTGCAAAACAAGGGAAAATTTTTATCATTTTATGTCAAAAGCGTCCTCATTAATCCTGCCATTTTTAAGTTTTTACTTTGTGCTCGTAGACAGATGTGTATTTCTATCGAAACCCTAGCTGCACCTATCACGAATAATCGCACATAACGGCAAACAGCAGTGTCGAAGATAGAAGTGAGAATGAATTTCGAAAACACCTTACCTGTACAATAAGTGCCTGTGTATTAAAGACATTGAACTCAAGATCTTGTTCGATCAGCGACACAATAACAACTGCATGTTCGAAGGTGCAAATATTGCCTAGAAGTTTCTAAAGCTCGAAAAAGGCTAAAAATATCTGGATAACAGTTTCCTTCTTTTTACGATATTCGAAATTTCACATGTTATTACCAAGTTATTGCGATTATTTTTTTTAGGAAAAGGTCTCGATAAAAATTCGGTATAAACAACAAGTTCACTAGAATCTTTAATGAGAACGGCGACTAAATGTCCTCGAACTGTCGTTAGGGTAGCTAACAGTTTTGTATGAGATGAAAAATCTTTTGAGATATCCATAGATCCCCCCAAGACATCCGAAAGGATAAACAGCTTTTGGAGCGGCTAAAAATTAACCAAAAGGCATTTAATAATGCATAGAGACATGCATATAGTGACATACTGTGAAACATTTGGTCGTTGTGTGCTGCTCTTGTTCAATGAGGCATAAATGCAAAAAGAATTCGTTCCAGTTTTTGAGTGAAATAGAGTCAGTTGTTTGCCAAGTATAAGCCCCCAAACAATATTCAGGCAGATAAATTTAATAAAGTACATGATACTGGACTGAAGTGTGGCATCGCACCAGCTACCATCAGTAGGTTTGGCAAGTAAAAGTTTTTTGCATGGTTCCGCCCTTAAGTAATGATCCAGGTAAGGTAGATAGCAATTTCTTTTGTTATGCTGCAACGGTGCTTTCCCCATACAGACATGTTCTCATTTTTACACAGAATGCATAAACCTACATGAAGGCCGTTTACGCAATAAAATGCATTTACACTCCACTTTGAAACGGTGTTTTTTTGTGTTAAAAGATTTTGACCAATCACAAGAGTTGAAAACAATAGCCAAGAAAAGTTTACAATTTTACATGTTCCCCACATAGGATTTCTTTGTTATTCAAACTGAGACCAGATTTTGTTATATGGAAGATGGTTGGAAAGTAAGGATGAATGTATGTACTGCTTTATGACGTTTTGTTAACTTTTGTGCTGATTAAGCCAATCAGAAGTAAGTACAGACAGTAGAAAAGTTAACACCTTTTTTGCATTCCAACATGTTCGTTGCCGTTGTTGCAATCGTTCTTATCTGCACCGTTTCTTACTAAGCGTGTCGATGTATTTCCTTCAAACGTTGACGACGAGTCAAAGAGTTATGCGGAATAATTTCACTAGTTCGTTTTTGTACCTATATGTCCTACTGATCCTTTTGAAAAGACGGATTTTTTGAACGCCAGTAAGAAAATCTTGATTGGTTTAAGCCCTAAATATTTCAAATACAGGTTTCATTCGATGTGCGACAAACGCAGACTGCAGACTTGCGGACAGGTAAACGAAGTAAACATAATGTTGTGAAATGTCCTAACAGATTCCCTATCCCTAAACTTTAAGAGCCGGTTATTTAGACGGAATTTAAGCAGTGTTAAACAAACCGCGTTCTAAGTCATTTTCAGTTTGGCCAACGCTTTTATCTAAACACCGTTTGTCGTGAACAGTCATTTCATTAAAGCATAAAGTGCAGACTCGAAAAGCATTTGTCTTCGTAAATTAAGGGCCTGTCGATATATTCACTTTTCCACCGCTCAACGTCAACTGGACGTTTAGATGGGAGAGGGTAAGGCAATGGACGTTAGTGCGGGGCGTTTTTGGACAAAAGCAAACTGAATAGATGTAAAAATGAGTGGAGTGGCACTCGTGACATTAGTTAAGAGAAACCAGGGAGAATTAAAGAAGTGAGTGTAAATTGTAATCTTTTTATAAAACTCTGCTCTTATAAAGTGTTCTGATACTACAGTTTCTCTAGGACCATACCGATGTTTTTCAATCGCCTTAGAAGTGGTTTTATCCTTGTCCGATTTACCAGTGATTGGCTATGAAATAACGTTTGTCAAAATGCAGTTTTAAGTAAAATCGATATCGCCATGACAACAATAAACAAAAACTTTGAAATCGATTTAATCCGAATTTCCCGCGATCAAGATCTGCTACTGAAAATCCGACACCAGGAGCTTAGTGTGGTGTGGTGTGAGTGTGGTGTTTAGAAAATAACCTCTGTAAGAAGTAAAAAATTCTGTATGTTTGAATTCAAATAAAACATAAATGTATGTCAATTTTGAATAGCCGTGATAAACTGTTGAAAAAATTAATGTTAAGTAGCGTCAGATTAAGGCTGCTTAATTATCATTATTCGATGCATAGAAATTTTAGTGTATTTTCTTTCCTGCGATCCTAAAAACTGAACCAGTTTTCTCACCACCAGTCTAATTGCAACTTTATTCAAAATTTTGACTTTAAGACCTTCTTTGTATATCTCTAAAACCGCTCAACAGAATTCTTTTTAAACCTCATCACACAATCCCCATGATATATATAATTATGTAGGAAACTTTCATTGAGATTGATTCACTGCAGCACCTTGAAATTTTAAGACGAACCTAGTCTACGAACAGAACAAAAATCCGCGTTACAACATTCACTGTTTTGAAGTTGTGCTAATTTTTCCAAATTCAAATGTTCGCCATACATACCTCCATGGCTAGTGCATTTTAGTATGACTTTATTGCATATTTTTTAATGTAAAACATTGATAATGTTCACATCGGAATGTATTTAATATGAGAACGGTTTTCGCTAAAACGAATTCAACATCTGACCTGTGATGTGATCCAGGATGGTTTTCATCTCTTGGTCAGGACCTTGTCGTTTCATTGCGCGATTCATCATCAGTGTTGCTATGAAGGAATTTGACAAATCTGTGGAGAGCGAGGAGAGGATTCATGTCTGCATGCATAGGTGTTAATTCGTATTGAAAAAGAGGGTTATAACTACAAGCAGGAATGTTCCATTTTTCCTTCGTTGGTGGCTTGGTAACATGCCTCTTTGTGCCGGTGCCACTTTTAGATCCCCTAACATGCCACAATTTACATCTGGCGGCGAAGAATATCGTACACAATTCCAGATCCACCTTCTCATGTATTTTGATTTCTGGAATTTCATCTTCTCCCTCCCTTCCCATATTACGTGTTTCTTTCATGTAGTCGCGAGTGAACTGGAGTTCCTTTGCTGCCCTTTTGTCTTGAATTTCTTGCCTTCCGTCTTTGTAACGGATATCCCATCCTTTTCTCCAAACTAAAATTTGGGAAATGAATGCCTGGCTCGATTTCTTCCTTCTACGAAAGAGCCGCATATTCCCCGCCCTCCCCTTAGATGTATTGTCTATGTACGTATCCGTTTTTGTTTTGTCTGTGTCTGTATTGTGTGTGTCGTGTGGAGTGTGTGTGGGAGAGAGGGGGGGGGAGGGAGAGAGAGAGAGAGAGAGAGAGAGAGAGAGAGAGAGAGAGAGAGAGAGAGAGAGAGAGAGAGAGAGAGAGAGAGCTTTCGCGCGCGCGCGCGCTGTCGCCGGCGCTCGCATAATTTAACTTATTTTAGGAATATAGATTTATTGATTCTGTTTTATATTCAGTCATTCATGCTACTCTTGATCTTGTGAAGGTTTTTGGGAGATTATTACAGGTTGTCATGAGTCAAGTGGCAAAGGAAAGAAGTGTTGTTTTGACTGCTGACAATTCCGTGTGCCTAACGGAACAATTCTGGTAAGCGATACGTTGTTTTAAGGAGTATGAAAGTAAAGTCTTTATAACTTTTTTCGGAGGTCAGCGCTGCTAGAAAAACCTGGAGCACTAAACGAGAAATAACCGACTTAGCTGGTTCCCGCTAGTTATGAGAGAAAGTTGTTTCATTCAATTCCTTTATCCACTCAATGTGCACGCGCGTTGGGTATCGTAATCGACTGAAAGTCTTGGCAAGGCTTACATAAGGTGGCAAGAAAGAGCGGGAATAATTATAATTCAGTGACTTTAGGATGGGTCCCTCATCTCAAGGATTAATACAAAGTCCCGTTACCAAGCCCATCGGGGAGATCACTAATCTAAATATCAACGTATTCTGGCTGCCTGGCATTTTTAACCCTTAGGCCCACTTACTGTAACGTTGAAATTTTTTCCTTCTTTTTCTTCTTCTAAGACTGGGGTGAAATTGACTGTTATTGTTGTTTTTGTTCTGGTAGGGCACCCTTTAAAGACAAAAAAAGAACACTTACAGAACGTAACTGGAGTCGCCAGAGGGAGGTACATGCCAGACTTTCCAATATTCAAGTGACACCCAACTCATAAGCACTGGAAAGGTATCTTGCAAATGGAATAGTTGTTTTTCAAGTTCCTGTTTTTTGAATGGGGTTTGGGATCTTTAGATAAGAAAAAAATCATGGATTAAGTGACATTAATGGCGCGACATTATTTCCCTAACTTTTTTTATTCCGAACAGGGTACGGCATTTTAAAATTTTAGGTTAAATTTTATGAGTAAGATATATTTCCTTTAGGTTGCAAAGAGAAGAAAGAAAGCAATAGAGTTCGAAGCTTTCCGGAGTTTAAGAAGAGGAAGAACTGATCAGAGAGAGGCTGAAAGGTATTTACTTGTAATTGAATCATGATATGATTCTTAAAAGTTCATAAACTGTGAACAATAATGCTCTTCATTGTTCTATGCTCAGTGATAGCTCAGCTTTCCAATCGTTTCGTAACCTAGAAATAGAAACGATTGATTAACCATGATGTTTTTTCTTAGTCCGCTAAGTCGATATCCCCAAATAACGCCTAATAAAGGAAGAGAAGGCGGAGGCTGCTCAACTTAGCTAACCTCACGAACAGTTAGTGATCTTGGTTCTCCGTCTTCAAGTGGAATGCTGCTGCGGTATTCACAGGTACGGAAAACTCACTTTTTTGACTTTTAAATTAGTGACCATTTTTCATCACTGACAATCCATTGGCTATAGCTGCCTGTCTGAATGTTACTACGATAATCAAGGAGGCTTCGGATAGCTGTGAGAGTTTTCTAACCAAAAGGACATTTAAAAGTTGGTGATTGCATGCGCCTTCTTTTTATCTACTGAACTATTTTTTAGAAATGTTTTGGTTAACCCCCAATATAGATCATGTGACAATACTTGAAAGACTTGATCATTCGTCTTGTTCATTAAAAACTGCGCATTCGAGCACGATTATTACCAAATTCGAAAGGCACAGTGATATAAATCTCAGAAGCAAAATGTTAAAAGTGAATAGGGTCTATTTCAAGTGTAATTTGCGGCTCTTTACTTCATATTTAGTTGAGACTTATGCGCAACATTATACAGTACAGAAGGACACCAGCACTCCACGAGAGGTCTATCACCTTAAATACAGGGATGCAGTCTCACCTTTAGTTTTCCAGATGAAGACCGTGAAGCTATGGTTGTAACCATTAACTCTTAAAAGCTTTCTCGTGTGATCATTACAGACACAAGAGGAAGAAAATTTGAGTTCAAGTTGCATTTTTATGGATATAAATTAATGTAAGTGTCAAATAGCCAACTAGGATCTACTGCCCACTTGGCTCTTACTTTCTTGTTAAAAGACTGATAAAATACACATAAGGATTCAAAAATATCAAAGTTATCGGACAACCACAAAATTGAGGGTGAACTTTGATACTAGCCTTGCTTATTTAAACCGTGACCTTACAAAAGATTTATAAAAATAACTAATGCACCGATTAGCGGATGAAGTTCGGTGTTTAAAATAAATATGACGAATAAGTGGAAATTAAAAAATTATGTGCTCGTTAACATGATGGTTCGAGTTTTTAAGCAAACAATTTACAAATTCATTAACAATAAAAGGTGATACAAATAACGCGTGTGCCTTAGCAATAACTTACCAATGAGTAGATAACGGTTAAAATACATACCATGTTATGTCTTGGCGCACGCGCGTCAACAACACCTGACACGATAGCGAACGCGCGTTAGCAAACAATTTACTAAGAATAAGTGGGTTATAGTATCTTGCAATACATTACAATACAATATTCTTTATTTAACGAAGGCGACGTAATTAACCCAATGAGTTATCTAACTTACGGCTTTCATGCGCGCCGTCCGCAAACAATTTACTGATGACGAAGTAGAGCCTAATAATGTCATACACTGAAGTGGAGTGAGTGAGTTTGCGAACTTACAAATGATTATGGATATGGGTGACACTATCTTACCGTGTGCGAATCACCAATTAGAGGTTACAAATATCATACGATACAATTGAGTGCGAGCTTTTATAAAAACTAACAAATGACTTACTGAAGGGGGATAACATCATATGACATGATACCACCGTGCGCCCGTTAGAAGACAAGCAACACATAAATAAGTAGATTGTAACAACTGAAATTTACCATTAAATGGTCTGTGCGTGTTGTATACTACTGATAAGCAAGTAGAGGGTAATAACATCGGTTTTAAAGTAATAATATCGTATATGATGGTAAACACTCACTTGAATAACGAGATGCCAGTAATATCGAAAGAAATGCTCATGCGCGCTTTAGCAAACAACTTATAAGTAAATAAAGAGAGGGGAATTATATGATAGTGTGCGCATTATTGAAAAAGTAACTTATGAATAAGTAGATGATTACAAAATATTATAATCTAATAGTCTGTATCATACGATATGATGAACAAGTAGATTGTTGTACTATTTTTAGCATTTTATGGGGTGTGCTCATTTGAGTAATTGCAAAGTAAAGGGTAAATATCATATATGATGGATCGCGGGCTCTTGAAACAACTTACAAATGACTTACTGACAGGGTTAATATTATGTGACATGATAGCCTGCATTAATAATCAACCCATGTACGAATAAGTAGATGGTCACAAAAAAAACTTAAAAATATTGACTTGTATCATAAGATATGATGATGCTCGCTTATTTAACAACATAAAGGGTGATAATATCACGTGGCATAATAGCGTGCGTGCGTTAGAAAACAACTTTTAAGTGAATAAGAACGATATCATGATGGTGTGCGCACATTAGCAAACAACTTACTTATAAACAACGACGTGGATACAGAAATTATTGTATTAAATGGTTTGGGTGCATTTGCATGGTACTTATAAGTAAGTGGAGGATAATAATTTCCTAGACATGATGGAACACACGCGTCTACTGACAAAGTAGATACTAATATTATGATAATATAAATGCCATGTTTGTGTTAGCAAAGTACTTAACTTAAGAATTGGTTGATGATCATACTATCCCACTATCTAATGCCTTGAACACAACTTGTACGTGAGTGAAGGGAGAATAGCTTTAATGGATTTAATGGTGAGTGCGCATGAAGGTTATAGTCAAATACGATAGGATGGTGTGCGCGCAACAAACTAAATAAGTCGAATGTCACACGATATCATGGAGTGCGCCTTATCAAACAACTTATAAATAATAAATGCATGAAATGTGATGGTGCGCGCGCGTTTGTTAACAAACTACTGGCGAAGCAGAGGTTAATAATCTCGTTCGATCCGATGACCTTACAAGTAAAAGTGGAGGGTGATGATATAATGTAATTTGGGGGAATGCGCGCGTTTGTCAACAACTTCCTACCAACGAAGTAGGAGCTCAAGACACGTACGATAAAAGGGGAAAAGATATAATATGGTACAATAATAAAGGCCTGGCCGCGTTACAGGTGTTAAAATGTTACATTTTAGGTCATAATATCGTACCATTTATTTGCATTCCTTCGTATCATGCAAGTAAATAAAAGTAAATATCGCACGAAACGGCGTAGGTAAGTTAAAAAACCCCTTGGCGTTGAACTACACTAGAGTGATAAGACCATAAGAGAGAATGACGAATGCAAAATAGGCAAAGACTTAATATTAACACTAGAAATTGGAGAGATAAATGATTAAAACTTTAAAATAAATAGCTATTATCACTCATCAAGGCCAGAGTCAAAATTCACCCTCAATGTATAGGATTAACTTCATTTAAATCAACAACTTCACGTGAATTGTTGAATGCTTCACCTTCGATGTTTAAGTGCAGGAGTCAAATGGGTCAGTTTTTCCAGACGAGGGTCTCTCGGTTGCTTTTATGGATATGTATAAACATCCATTTTTAGAAACAGTTTTTGCTTACACTTTCCTGGAGCTATTTTCAACGAGTTATGGTTCACATTCTTTCAAGTGTGCTTTGACCCAGCCGGAGCGGTCTTTGATTGAGGGGTTCAGCTGGCCCGGGGTTTTCCTCCAAGGGGCAAGTGGACCCACGAGGAGGTTTTTCACCCAGCTGTTGTTCCACAACTCCTCTTTCATTTGTAAATGACTTGATAAAACTGCGTTATACATGTATCCAGGTTAAAACCATGAATAAAAAGTAGACTTCGCATCAAACGTCTTCCTTGTGGCTGCATTTGTGGGATATTCTTTAAAGAATTTGAAATGTTGCCAAGTAATGGTGGAAACGTCATCCCCTTTTTTTAAGGTCTTCATGGGAATAACGATATAACGAGGATAAGGAGGCATAAAACCATTCATTTTGCAGCGACTGACATTTTCTTCTTAAAAGCCCACTTGTCGATTCGTAACGAAGAATAATAGACCTTTTTAGCATGTACGTTCAGAGAACAGTTTCTTTCAAATGTCGTCTTATGCGTGTTTATATGTACGCAAAATGTTCCTTGAGAACATCACGTGGTCTCAACGTACATGCTAAAAAGGTCTATTCACGTAAATAAAGGTGAATATCGGTGAAAATCCATACAAGGCTACCTTTTAACCACAAAACTACCACCAGAATTCTGATTCAAGAATTCTTGACAGCCTTATTGAAGGGCTAAGAAGGACCATATTTGAACGTTATGCAGCATCACTTGAGATTTATCACTTCTCATTTCTTGGTAAGACGTGGTAAGCCTTGCTCAAGGGAAATCAAATATTTAAACAGGTGTAAGTAAGAGTACCCGGGGGAAAAAACCTCTGGAAGCAGAGCACCAACAACAAACTCAGCACACAAATGACGCGAGACCGATAATCGAACCCGGGTCACAATGGTGAAAACAACGAATTATAGGGAGTGTTATTTTATGTTCTGCCAAGTGGAGTACGGACACTACAGGATTTTTGCTACATCTAAATTGTTTGCTTTTAATTTCTCCATGAATTCACAATTTAATGAATCTTACAAAAGTCAATGTTAAATATGACGCGAGGGTAAAAGATATTCAATCATAAATACTTGAGGAAAAATCAACTGTCTTCTGCTGCAAAACTGAAACTTCGTTTAACAGGGTTTCAAAAACCTAATTTGCATAAAAGTGTCCTGTCACAAACAAGCTGTGGAGTGCAGCAAACGTTTTCTGTTTATTTTAACTGATATATTAACCAAGGCAAAAGATGGCATTGGTAACCTCACGGAACGAGGACGGCGACAAATACGAAAAAAAAAAATTGTTCATATGCATGAGCAAAAACAATGGCTTTGCGCGTGTAGCACGTCGTCATTCTCGTCACCAGAGCCTCGGATCTTATGTCTGCGCATGACCCGAGGCTCTGGGAAGCTCTATGCAGAAGAACATGTGCCGTAGGATTCTCCCAAAAATTAGGGAGGTTAACAAACAACAACGGCTACGGCTACGGCTACGGCTACGACAACGCCAAAAAGCATTAATATTATTGGTTAAAAGAAACAAAATGATCGTGCTGCAC